ATCTTCAGTTTCTTTTGTTAAAGAAGTGAAATTTTCCCGGGACACAGACAACTAGAGAAAAAACAAATCCTGATGGGGGTTTTGTAACATTCCTTATTCTACTCAAAGCTAAAAAGAAACATTTTGGCTTTAGATACACCCGAAGATAACCCCTGTGGCAGGTTTACTATAAACTGAGATCATACACAGACAGAATTGTCAACATTTACAATAGTACGGCTTTCCTGAAGTTTACCGTTGGTCGCCAAGAGCAATGTCCACATCCTGTTCCGGCAAAACTCTCGTCTTGGTCAACAGTCCAACAGCGAAGGCTTTCTCCACTTCAGACAACTGATTCTCTACAATGTAATGCAGATAACAGCGACGTTCCTCTGTCAAACTTCTGAGCAATGCCCTGCTTCCATGACCCACGCCAACCACTGCTAATCCAATGCTGCTTCCACGTGAGCTGCTCATCGGGCCCCCGGGAACAATACTATTGGTAGCTTCGGAGATGATATACTTTTGGTTTGTGTGTTTGGATGATATGGATGGATTCTGGACATAGATCGTGCCAAACGATGATGGAAGCGAGGAAGAGGTAGACGGCGCTGGTTCTTCTCTGATGCAGGTTATGTTTGTGGTGGAGCTGATGGGGTTCAGGTGCCCGGAGATCATGGAAGGGTGATGGTGAGGAGGAGATGGAACCAGGTTTGTGGTGCTAACAGTGTTACTGCTGGAGCTAGACTTCAGCACGAAGGAGGGCTGAGGGTGCCATGCCAAGTCTAGAGGCACTGGGAAATTGCCAACCTGATCGCCACCAGTTGAGCTATTAAGAAAAATTACATTTTAAAACCTTTTAAAGAGAATCTTCGGAAGATGTGATTTTTATCTGTATCCCAGATCACATAAATACTAACTTCTACTTTGCCACTGTGCAATTAAGCCACTTCCTGGTCCTTCCCCAGTAAGATCCCATCTACAACACACACACACATTGCTCTTTCCCGTCTATACCTCCTCCAGCACATACACACATTGCTCTTTCCCGTCTATCCCTCCTCCAGCACACACATTGCTCTTTCCCGTCTATCCCTCCTCCAGCACATGCACACATTGCTCTTTCCCGTCTATCCCTCCTCCAGCACATACACACATTGCTCTTTCCCGTCTATCCCTCCTCCAGCACATACACACATTGCTCTTTCCCGTCTATCCCTCCTCCAGCACGTACATTGCTCTTTCCCTTCTATCTCTCCTTAAGCACCAGCACATTGCTCAGAAAGAAGTCTGTGCCTCTCCCCTGTTCTGCAGAGGTTTATAATTTTGTAAAGATAAATTAGGTATAATGCTTACCTTATTCCTCGCTGCAATAGCCTGCCTCTGTCTGGGGGGCCTGCCCCCCACAGCCTCGTAAAGGTGCTCAGGCCACTGGTTGCATCAAGCACAATGCAGAACTTATAGTCCTGTATTGTAAGTAAGGATGCAATAACCCCGAGCATTGGAGACAAGAGGAGAGCGCTGGCTGCTGGGAGAAGCGAGGGATAAAGCAATCATTACAGCTGTTTCCTCTGGTCCCTAGATTAAAAAAGCATTTAACCCGTGCAGTACCATGGAGGAGGGGGGGGGGGGGGTAGGTACCAAGGTTTTCTTTTTCATCCCAAAGTTCAGCTTTAACCCATCAGTGACCAGCCACCAGTGAAGAAGTGTCAAGACCTCAGCCCCCCAGTAATAGCCCTTCAATGCTCAGTTCTCAGTCCCCAGGTATGTACGATAACCTCTCAGCAGCCAGTACCTAGCTCATGCAGGTTAAGCCCTCAGCACTCAAGGACTGTGTTTTAACGTCTCAGGACCTATTCTGCTGATGTACATTCATTTCCCAGGAGGCAGTGCCCAATGCATGTGCATTTACTCCTCAGTAGACAATCTCCAGCACTCTGAATAAGCCCTCTGTGTCTACTGCATGTGCATAAACCCCTCAGCACCCAGTCTCCATGTGCAATAATCCCTCACATTTATTTTAGTGCACCATACCAAATATCAGTCTCATCTGCACTGACTGTGGTCCTGTGGGAATCTCAGCACCCCTGCCCCAGTTTAACCAATCCATGGTAACCCTGCCCCATCTCCCATGTCCCCAGCCCTACCTCCACTGTTCCTGGACTCCATGACACAAATAACATAAAGTGAATATGTAAAACTGTTAAAGCCATTGGGCACTTACACTAAAAGGGGGGCTCTGTTCCAGTGTTGTTTGATCAGCCGCCTGTTCCGATAATGCCTTCCCGAAGCCAGGTGCTCCAAAATCCGGTCCCTTCTGACCCGCATAGGAAGCTCACAGGACTTACAGTACAGCGTCTCCACGACAGAGGTCTCTCCGGTGTCACTGTGTTCAATCACATGCCTCCTGACCGCCAAGTCTGAGAACTCGGCTGCATAGTCATTCAACGTTTTCTTTTTCCGCCCCATGAATGCCAGAGATCGAGAGTAATCAAAGTCTTGCCTCGGAAATATATCGGTCCACCAGGCACTTGGTAGTAAGTTTTCTGAAACCGTTTTGAAGATGGACTTTCATGCCTTGAATGGAACAACACTGTTGTGATTTAGATTTTTCCAAACGCACGGAATGGTCACGTTCACGCTGGAGACTCGGAAACCGATACGCGTGGGAAACTCGTCCAATGACTCCTGCTTTGTTTTCAGAGAAAACATCGTCATTTAGGAAACCTTTCCTCACTACAAGATACACCACCTAGCACTTTATCATAGAACTAGACACCCCCCCCCCCCCCTACAAATGCCTCCAACATTGACACGATATCTGAATGATTCTTTGTTGTCAGAAAAAATAAATGATTACATTCGTCTGAATCGTTTACTATAAATCACATTGTCTTTCTTATAAACATCTGATAGATGGGAATACAGCTTCATTAACATGGAAAGAGTTGAAGCTTCCACAACCAACATTCACGATCAGTTCCTAAAAACATCGCTGCTAAGAAAGGTTAATATAAAATCTGTGGAATTTCCCCGATGTTACTGCCTTCTGGATAAAGCAAGACAGTCATACACCGGTGAGATCACAGATCAGTAACCCGTACACACAGGAGGAGGTACAGCTGGGTACAAAGGGGCCCCTTATATCAAGTTGATGGAAGACGTTAGGGCAGTTTATGTCTTGTGGGGCGGGGGGGGGGGGCGGGGGCAGGGGGAGATACACACCCAGAGAAGTGTCTATAGGCAAGTGGGCAATGGGCTGATACCTGCAGGAATGTATCAGGTCAGAGTACAGGAAGTGATATTCTACAGGAGTATATTACAGTGACAGGGCCTCTTTATGGATGTCACAGGTCAGTGCTGGGGAGCACAGAGACTACATACCACAGGTGAGAGACTAAATGCAACCCCCTAGAAGGGTCTGTACAGGACAGAGAGAGGGGGAGGCTGTCTATAGGAGGGTATTACAGAGAGGCGATGGGGCAGATACCTATATGGGGCAACATGGGTAGACATAAGGGCAATCGTGTGTATAAAAATGTAAGAGATAGGTGATGAGTCGGATACCTATAGAAGGTATTACAGGCAGATAACATGGGCAGATTTTGGGAACAGGTGACAGCGACTGTAGGAGGTATTAGTGGCCAGTTACAAAATGTAGGTAAGCGGGTAGGTGACAAGGTGCAGTTGGTGCTTATAAAGTTCAATGACAGGAGGGTAGTACAGGGGGCAATTGGTGGCAGTAGGGTAGTGACAGGAGGTTACAGAGGGGAAGTGCAGGGGGCAGTGACAGGAGGTTACAGAAGGGAAGTGCAGCGGGCAGTGACAGGAGGTTACAGAGGGGAAGTGCAGGGGGCAGTGACAGGAGGTTACAGAAGGGAAGTGCAGCGGGCAGTGACAGGAGGTTACAGAGGGGAAGTGCAGGGGGCAGTGACAGGAGGTTACAGGGGGGAAGTGACAGGAGGGTAGTTGGTGGCAGTGACAGGAGGGTAGTACAGGTGGCAGTGACAGGAGGGTAGTACAGGGGGTAGTTGGTGGCAGTGACAGGAGGGTAGTACAGGGGACAGTTGGGGTCTGATAGTGAAGTAGGTGTCAGCACACACTGGCAGGGCAGACGGCGGTAATGAACCCCCCAGCCGGCTCCTAGGACGCTACCAGCTCTCCTCTATGGACTCTCTGCTTCTTCCAGGTGACTTCCGGCTACAAGGAAACCTCAGCTCACCCGGAAGTTCAGTGTAAGGCGACCCGGAAACACACGCAGCCACAAAGTCCCGTCACTGTCGACTGCTTGGTGATCTGGTTCCGTGCGGGCGACACCTAATGGCCGCTGATGGGTACTGCACTCATTTCAGCCAGGCGGCTCCCACATGACGCAGCAGGTGGAGGTCACATATAACACAGCTGTATTATGACTTCTATTGAAATATCTGAGAAAAAGAATTGTAACTGCAATAAAATCTAGCACAGGGTTATCAATCACTTATACGGCCCAAGACCATTGGCGGCATGGTAAAAGAAAGGCAGATAATTGATAAGGAGCGTGCCTTTAATAAGCCAGGTTCCTGACTATAGGAATGAGGTCATTTACAATGAATAGAATCACATCCATGAGATATAAACCTAAAATGAAGGAGATTTACATCACTGAAGCAACAGAACAGAAATCACAACAATTGCAGTTTTTTTTTTTAATAAGATGTTTTCACTTTTTCCTTCTTCGTTACATCTCAGTGCCACTGATATCTTGCAGCCACTTCCTGCCTACATGCACTCCATCGTTGGCTGCATGGCGTCTCTTAGGGCTAGTTCACACCAGCCACAGTGCGTTCCAGCGCGATTGGGGCCGGAACGCACTGGATCGCATTGCAGCCTGGCTCACTTCGTTGTGGGGCGGTGCATTGACCTCAATGGCACAGTGCGATTGGCCGCACGGGAGCGCGTGGAACATTAATGCCTGTGTTCCGGTCGGCTCAGAAAAAATAGTGCTTGCAGCATTTTTTTCTGACCAGAATGCAAGCAATGATGTGCCACCCGATCCCCTGTGGCCAATCTCACTGCGGCCGGAGGGCGTGGCTGCGGTGCCATTGAGTTCAATGCACCGCCACGCCCCCTCTCGCCCCACAACAAAGTGAGCCGGCCGCAATGCGATCCATTGCATTCCGGCCCCCATGGGGCATTAACGAACTGTGGCTGGTGTGAACAAGCCCTCAGGACGGGTTTCCCAAGAGCAATGACAATTGACCACACCAGCGTAATGTGTGTTGCAACGGTCACTTGTCCATTGGAAGCCTGTATGACAGCTACAAAGTTGGGAAATCTCATCTGTAAACTGCAAAATCTCAGAGAAAGGCATTTTCCTCCCCTGAGGTGATGTGCATGGTCACATGTCCTAGTCACATGTGCCAGAGGTCCAGGAAGTAAAGGGAGACGAATGATTCTTCCCACAGTAAACATGGCCACCACAAAGAATGGGGGGGGGGATGGCAAAGAATACATGGCCGGCAATTATGTAGAAGTATCTGTTTGTAGATTGTCATTACTAAACATTTCTAAAGGTGTGTTTGTTGTCATTTTAAATTTAAGGGTAAAGCTCCTGTTTGACTTGCACCTGTCACTGGGCTCTGGATCTAGATCAGAACACATGGAGATAGAGGAAGAGTCACACTTTGCTCTTCTGCCTTCCAGTCAGGGAGGTCCTCCCACACATGAAAAGATCAGTAAAGAGGCAGAAGATGTAGAAGAGGGCGGGGCCAACATTTACAGGACACGCCAAGAGTTGCCCAGATTGGCACAAAGCAAAGTGCATACCCCTGAACGACCAATCAGAATTAGTCTATTAGGAGGTCCAGGATGTTACTGATGAATCGGCATTTCCACGTCTTGAGCAGATGGTTCCAATCACTGAACATTGTCCACTATTAAAAAGAGAATTCTCTTTATTAGGAGAAGCAATTGGTTTTCTACATGTGTACACAACTAAGGTCTGCTACACACACGGTAATGAGATACAACAGAAGATTAACAACTACACACAATGACATGTAATATGTACAATACACATTTTGGTTTTGTATCCATGTTACCCCGATTCCAGCGCTTATCCTATTAGGAAATGCATATTGTTTCAGATTGTGAGCCCCTTTGGGAGAGCCAAGGTCTGAGCCCTTAAGACGGGTAGGCAACCTTGGAACTCCAGCTGAGGTGAAACTACAAATCCCATGAGGCATTGCAAGACTACAGCAGCCACAGGTATGACTCCCAGAGGCAGACACATGGTGAGATTTGTAGTTTCCCCACAGCTATAGTGCTGAGGTTGCATACCTCTTATCAAACTTTTATTTTTTTACAGAGGTTTGTCTCACCGGTAGGCAACCTTGGCACTCCAGACGTGATGAAACCACTAGTCTCATGAGGCATTGCAGGGCTGACAGCCACAGGCACAACTCCCAGAGGTACGATGGGATTTGTATGTTTTACCCCTGGACTAACTCATTTACACAGATCACCTTTACTGTACAGGACTGTGATGTCAAGTCATGTGATAAGAGCCACTGTCCAATACAAAGATGATTACTCACAGCAATCAGTCGGAAAAGTTCCTGATCTCAATTGACATTCTAGATGCTTATTCCAACACAGGCATGTGACACTGCGATGAAGCAGCTGTGTGTTCTGCCCTGTAACTGGCCATAGCTTCCAGCAATCAGCGCACAGTAAGCCTGCGGCCCCTTTGGCTGTGCCCGGAAGAAGATGCTGTAACAAGTTCTGTTTTAATACAGGCCTGCAGGTCCAGGCTAGGTGAGCTCCAGCTTCTGACTTCCAGGAAAAGAATAAAGATGTTCCGGGGCTAATCATTTATACCATATAAAGTGAGGAATATGTGATGTGTGATTCACAGAAATACAGGTCATGACATCGCACTCAAACAGAAGCACAATATAGGGAATAAAGACCTCCAGAGTCCTAGGATATGCACAACATTCCCTGGATTTATAGTTCCATCACCAAGCAGCCGGGACTTCTGTGTCACTATCCACTCTGATTTATTGGTGAAATGTTTCTCTAAAAGTAATTTTTACATAAAATGTTAAAATTGTATATGCTGCGGTGCCGCCTATTTATAACTGCACTTCATGTACTTATTTATAGGTTCCTGCTCAAGAGGTTACCTATACGTCAGTGAAACGACAGGCCAAGACCAAAGGAAAGCCAAGAAATAAAAACTTTCTAAGCCATAATCTACTTCTTTTCTCCGCTTCCCAACAGATTTTTTGCCTGGAGTTCTTCTACCGATGGCAAGTGCTGAGGTAAGTACAAAGTGTGCAAATAAAACCTTTTTAAAAAGGCATTAAAAAGGAGAACGATGAGGTGAGTGATTTCCACTCATCCTCATAGTTAGAGCCGACCCGTGACAAAGAAGCTGTCACAGGTCGGCTCTATGGATCGGGAAGTGAACACATACGGTCGCTCGCTCACTTCTTGATCATCTCCCTGCAGAGAGCCGTCACTGTCAGTCACCGC